GCCACACAGCCTTAACTAGTGGTGGGGGGCTGGCCGGAAAGAGAATTTGCTTTAAAATGGAGCCTAATTAGTTTCTGAACTGGATTAGAAAATGTGACTGTCTGAGGTAGACATGAGGACCCAGGAGATCTTTTGCTCTCCAAAACAAAGGAAGGGAATAAGACTTAGCCATGTTGGAGTCAAAATTAATGAAACACAAGGTACGGACTACTTCTCGATGGATGTTTGTACATGTCCGAACCAAAAGGGCTGGCTGAATCTCAGTCCTCCAATTCCTGCTACAGTTCATACCCCAGCAACTCGTATGAAGCTGAATCTTTTATGTATGCTCCCTTAGCCCAGTGTCTGCAAACTCAGGACAGTAATATTTACAGAGAAAATAGTAATAATGAAAATTGTTAGAAATTCTGGAATCCACAGAAACCCTTCTGTGGATTTGTCTTAAAAAGAACTTTACCTTTTATTTTCAACATGGAAAACAAGCACATGTATTTTTAGGTGTTTGGTAAGAGAGCAAGCTGGCTAAAACGCCAGAAGAAATAAATGAAAAGGCTGGGTTTTATACCACGGCAGGAGAAAGATCTTGGAGGCTCTGAGTGCTATAAAAATGTGTTCGTGCATTCTCTTCTAGCCGAGGCCACACGGCCTTACGAGCACTGACCACCTCCACCGATGTGCTCCTCTGCCTGCACTGGGGAGCGCCTCCCTTAATCCCTCCACTGCAAATAAGCTGGGTTCCTTTAAACAGCTGAGTATTAAGGCTCTACCAGATCAATTCATTTTGACTTAACAGCTAGGGAGTGAGCACGCAGTTAGGAGCTGCTGGTGGACCTAAATGGCAACAAACTTTGGCAGAGTTGAGCGACGAGCGTGATTCCTGCCACTAACAACAAGGATGTGTGGGGCAGCTGAAAAAGGAACCTCTGGGCCAATATTGCACTCCTGTTCTTCAGTACAAGCACTCTAAAAAATGCTGATGTACATAGAAAAAAAGGTCTGTTTAGCTTCCTGTGCCATCATACAATGGCAGCTGTCTACAGAGGAGTATAAAAACAGTCCATGAATAAAGAAGTATTTTGCTATCCCTTCCCAGATTCCAGTCAGGTGTAGCTGAGGCACCTCCTCAGACAGGGTTGTAGCTTCATGGTTAATAGCTCTGGATAGATTTTTGCCTCACTGCTTTATTGAACCCATGTTTTGGTAAACTGTTGTTTTATTTAGAACTAAGTTAAAATTTTAGGAGGAGCACTCTGAGCCCTGTTTGGAAAACAGCCCTACCAGTGCTCTCCACTGCTGTCTTCCCATCCTCTCCACAAATGTTTCGCTTTGGGGTGGGGTGGGTGTAAGCAACAGCCATGAGGGTAACAATTTCATGTATTTTGGCCTTTCATAAGGCTTTGGAGGCAAAAAAACCCCTCGGTGTAGTTCAGGAAACCAGCAATGGAATTGGTGTCGCTAGGCTGAAAAGTATTTTTCTTTTCAAAGACTGGGCATGTTCCCACTCATTCTGTTCACTTGCTTTCTTAGAACAAAGTGATTCACGATTAAATGGAAAATAAAACCCTTCTTTGACTGTGTGATTAATAGAGTCTATTTAGAGAGAATCTTGACTCTAAACTCAAAGCTCAAGATGAGCAAGTTCTTCTGCACCTTTGGTCAAGCAGTATCTCTGAGCTGGTCCTGCCCTGCCTAAATTACTATTTGATCCACACACGCTCAGTCACTTCAAGGAACGGGCCGAGTCCAGACAGCTCCTGTGCTGGAACAGCCAGGCCTCAAGAGAGCACGTGAGCAGGAACGAATGCTGTGGTCTGTCACCTACCTGGAGCGCCGGGACACGGGCCGCTGTGCTCTCCCACTGCAGCCCTGTGAGAATAAATGAATGGGTTGGCTGCAAGGTCTTGAACTCCACACGTCAAGCACAGTTTCCCTTCAGCAGTCGTTGAAACTCCCTTCCAGGCTGCTGCTGTGCGCGGGTGGAAGCCCACGAGAATTTTGTTTTGGACTCCTCAGGCATGATCACGTAAGGCAACAGGGCAGGTCTAGCAGGCTAGATGTTTGATCAACTAGGGACACAAACACCAAGACAAATTTTTGTTATGGCATGAACATACGATGTATCAGATAATATTTTCTCCAGTAATTTATGTTTTTAAGAATCTATAATGAAAACAAGGTGCTTTCCTGTCCAGATGTTTTGAGAGACTGCATTTTGTATTCGGGGCAATAATCTTGCCTCTCTTTATAGCAAAAATATTCAGACCGGATTGCCAAAAAAACATACATCTAAACTTCAGCAAATGAATCAAGCATCTTGCTCTCCTTAATTTCTGTTCAAAGAGTTGAACTCTGATTAATACAAACATGATGAAGATGATGATGATACTTGAAATACACCTCTTTTCAGGACTAAGTCTGAAATTTTTGCAAACAGGAAAAGGCATGTAAGAATGAACAACACATGGAATACATATGTATTTATCCTTCACAAAGGCTGTTACAAACACTTAAGTCATTTTGTAATATTTAGCTCCTTCTGAGTATATAATACTTGTAACACGTCATTAGCAAAACTTTCATCAAAGAGGAAGAATACTTACCAATAAGAACGCAGGAAAATTGTTTAATTTCCTCTCAGTTAGCCTGTACATACAAACATACCAAACTATTCTTGCCAATGTCACCAATGTATAAGTGTAAGCAATTTTCTTTCAGTGGGAAATGTAGAGGTCATTGCTTCATTTGTATGATAAACTTACACTTGCCTGTTCCGAAAGGCTTTTTTTTTTTTTTTCCAACGTGCTTGCAGTAAAACCTATTACCATTTCCCCCAGTCTTCAAAAGCGTCCTTCAATCGGTCATAAACTCTTCTTCCAAACTTCGTATTTCCATGTAGCAGATATGGAAGTCAAATTTCTGAAATTAAGACTAGGTGTTTGTAAGACAACTTGTGCTTGTGACTTTATAGGAGCTTGTGAGGAATTCTGCCATGGGACGGTGCTGCATGAGCAGTTGACATAACTGAAAATAGCAGCATGAAATTCTGGACAGGAAGAATGAAGTCCATAAACCTGCACCACATACAAGTCTGCAACAGTGCACTCTTCTCCTCTGGGCTTTAGGATGCAGGTGCACCCTTGGGAACATTACCTCCAGGTCTCTACTTTCAATCTCATACTGTAGCAGACTGAAACCTCCTACAAACGGTTACACTAAGGGCAAGGATGTTTCTTGTGTATTCTCTCTGAAGCGGGAAGGAATGCAAAGTTTGCCTTGCACGAGGTCTCTACAAATACTACGGGATATCAGAATTTCTGCTTCTGCCAGCAGATCAGCTTACAGAAACCCCCAAGGCAAGAAAGGGAATTTGGGCAGAAGGTAACAAGGAAATGACCACCACAGAGGAGCCTTTTCAAGGAGAAACTCAGAGCTCCGTGCAGATAACCTGACACAGGGCTTTCCCCCAGCGGATGCAAAGCTTTCCTTCACGTTGTACCAAACCGCATATGGCATGGTGGCACGATCAGCGTTCCTGGGACAGTCCTGTCAACCCTCTTGGTGCTTCTCACTGTGTTGAAACTGCACTTGCTCACAGTGCAACCTTCCTTAAACAGAGCAGCAAGGAGAAGGCTTTAGTGTCTGACAACTTAATGTGAGGGAAGTATGGAAGTTTGGTGGAAAAAAAAATCAACTACAGCATGTTACAAAGAGAATTTATTTGGTGAACAAAGACAAACCCAAACAAAACACTTAAATTTCTGACAAACTCCTCCAAAAACAAGAGTGAAGACAAATGCAGGACTATCACCCACAACCCTCCTCCCTCTCTTCCCACACAAGAGTTTTTCAGATCAGTCCCACCAGGAACAAGTCTTGGAGGCTTTCAAATTCAGTGTTCAATTTAACTCCATCTCACCACACTAATATGAAGGAGGTGGAACTGAAATAAAAAATGCCGCTTCTAAAAACATAGTAACGCTGATAAGAACACGCCGATGCCAAACTGCACTTCAGCTTTGCTTCTGTGGCTGCTGCCGAGGGCACAGCAACTACAGCTGTGCGTTACAAACTACTAAGAATTTCAGCTGCAACTTTCTGTTCCCAGAAGGATACAAGAATGCTTCTGAGAATTAAAGCAGTGTATTTTTCCCTGCCTTGCTGTGGAAAAGCTGCGTAACACACACATAGGTCTTCGGCGTACAATGACACGCATCAGCAGTGCTTCGCAAAAAGGTTTTGGGAGGAGTGACCAGGGCACCGTTCATGAAGGAGTCACCGCCTCCAAGGGGCTGACTGTGCTTCCCTTGCACAGACTGGCTAGCCGGGTGGCCGCGCGTGTGCCCAAAGCATTTTCCTATGTAATTTTGCTTCAGTGCTGAATTTCTGCCAGCTAACTATCAGTCTGGAAGAGAAGTTTCCTGACTTACTACAAACCTCTGAAAAAGAATTCAAATGCCTGGGCTAGAGTAATTTGGTATGTTGTATCTAGGCCAATGGGCTCCTGGTTCCCAAATATCAAAGATTAGCAGACAAAACACTTCAAGCTGTGCTATGTCAAATGGACTCCAAAAACTACTATACTAAATTAGAATAAAAAATTGGGACTACTCACTTTCCTAAATGGGAAGAGCAGACAATTCATACTGTTTTATTTCTTTGTCATCACTTTAGGTTTTCATGGCATAAATTTTACTGTGTGCAAATGACTAGTGCTGTATCTCTAGCAAGCGCAGTCAAGGCAAGCTGGCATCAAACGAAACTACGGCTTTAGATGGGTGCAATATCACTGTCCTTCCTTTTGCAACTTGACAAGCACATGCACGCAGAATGGACTGTGACCATCACCAACTGATAGTATAAAAAGAACTCAGGGCAAAGAACAATCCCCCCCTCCTTCCCTCTCCTATCCCTCCCTCAGGGGAAAAAAAGAAAAAAGAAAAAACCACCACCCAACCAAAAGCAAAAATTGCAATTTGCTCTTTGAGCTGCACACGCTGGCTGAGGCACACGTTGCTACAGACAGCTCTGCGTCAGGTCAGAGCACAGCTGAAGTACTCACAGCTTGAGGGGAATAACGGGCCAGTATTTGGGCTGATATTTGTCACAGTTCCTATCAAAGTCAAGCTGCATGGCAGTCTCCATCGCATGGATTTCGGCAGCTCTGTCGCCGTAGAGTTTCTTCATTTCTGCCATTTGCCTCTCCCCAGGTCTTTCTGTAGGTGGCTGCAAGGAACGCCCCGTCTTCATGTGAAAGTCATGACTAGCATCCACATACTCATCCTGGTACTCGGCTTCCAGCTGCTGCTGTTGCCCTAGACAAATAAATCACAGGAGACAATCGTACATTACTCACCTATCAACCCCCAATAATTTGGGTTAACTTTTTAACTATTACAGATTCAAATCTGTGCTAGGTCCAGAGAGCCCAGAGCCACATGCCCCCGAATGCAGCTTACTTGCACAGTTTACAAAACACCTCGCACCTCACTTGCCATGCTGTGCTCATCAGGCACAATGACAAATCCCTACTGAACTGCGCAAGCAAATCAGACTGGAAGCAGTGAGAAGGGAAGATGATCCTGGAACTGACTCCTAAAACTGCAGAAAAGCTCTGCATTAATAATAAAAAGAGAAAATAAGCATTGCTTCGTTTCTCCTCTCATATGTGTATCTTGAAAAGAAAAAAAATGCAAGAGAGTTGGTTTCCAAAGTAATTACTTAGCAGCTGCGACAATGAAATGAAGCACAGGAAAATGTAACTCTAGCAGAGTCATAGAGAGCAGAAATCACACTCAGCTCCCACTCTGTGAAGCTGAACAAGCCGGTCTGCCACACAGGTGCCAGTCACCCAGCCCATCCAACGACCCACAACTGCAAACAGGGCGTTTGGACACCCCAGCCAACCTCATTCGCTCCTCAAGACCTGCAAACTTCAAAACAAGCAGCATTATTGCTGCTGCTTTAAAGACAAAACAAAACAAAGCCCAGCATAAGTCTCTCCAGGGCAGCTTTTAAAGAGGATTTGAACAGTTCAAAGGGGTAAAAGAGTTGGACCAATCTGCCATCAAAAATCCTCTTTTGCAAGCCCAATCTGTGATTGAAGCCCAATCTCAATGATTTTGTGTGGCCAAAGTTAGCTCCGCTGAGCAGGTGCTGCACTGGTTGCACGAGCTGTGCTCTTGAAGTGCTACAACACTGAAATGCAACAAAGGGACCTCTCTTACGGGGACATTCCCAGAAGAGGAACAAAATCACCTGCCAGGTGTTCAGCTCCTTCACCAACCAGTACCCGACGACGGTTCTCAACACTTCCATCACAGAAACAGCTTGTTACTAATGTTATTTACTAACGAGCACATGGGCTTGAGAACAAGCTCTTCCTAAATAACAAAAGGGACAGAGCACCCACAGCTCAGCATTTAGCAGTCACATACAGGACATGCTTCTCTGTTCGGAGCCATGGACCTCTTCCCTCCTTCCCACAAGACAAAGGTTTAACTCCCATAGAACATATGACATCTGCAAGCCCTAAACAAAAGCATCCTACTATATCTGTGTCCAACATCTGCACTTTATTTTTACACTGGAAAGTACTGCAGAGAGCAGCCAACTGACAGTCTCAGCCTCACTAAATGAATTATCCCCCCTCCTCCCTCACTCATGGAAAACAGCCATTTTTAAGCAGTATAATCTGAAACTTCAATCCCGGCATCCGTTTGTCCGAGAGGGACAGGAAGAGCTCTAGTCCCGCCATTTCAAACACCCTCCGCAGTTCCATGTTGGCAGCGAAGGGCAGCAGCGCTTGGCGCATTATTGGCAATCCCACGCAGGGAGCAGCTCCGCTCTCGGACACCCCACGCACCCGCAGTGCCCTGCTTCACCAGAACTCACACGGAAACGCGCACCCGGGTCCACACGTGCTTCCCCAAGGATGGGATTTATTTGGTGCCAGCCACCTTAGCCAGAAGGTCTGGATGGGGAGAAGCAAGGCAGCCTGCGGAGCCCAGCACTGCAGGACAGGCTGCAGCTCAGGCTGCAGCTCCAGGCCACAAGCTCCAGGCCGCAGCTCAGGCCTCAGCTCCGGGCCGCAGCTCCGGGCTGCAGCTGCACGCGGTGGCGAGCAGGCCCCTCGCAGGCGGCACGACGCCCTCACGGGCACCTCGCGCAGGCACAAGCCTCACTCACACTGTGCAAATTTCCCTGAAAGGGTTGAGACAAAAAAAGTAAAATCCATGCTGGAAAAACAGTGTCTCCCGCTATGGGTTACACAGCAAAACTCTGGAGGCTACGAACTGAACTCGTATGTGTGGGCTCTCTTGGGCCACAAAGATGATTCCTTATATTTCTGCATTGCCCATGGAGGATTTTTTCCCTAGCTGCCTGTTAGAGAGGGCTGCTTTCTACCTGGCTCACCTCAGCATGCCCTGGGCTAACTCACTGCACACAATACTTGAGAAATACTAATTTCTCTGGAGATGTATAATGAATGCTCCTGACTGGAATTTTAATGAGGTTTTAGCAGAAGTTTTATGACAGATGAGTGTATTGCAGTTTCGAGTACATAAATCTCCATTTGAGGCACAAATGGCACCGTTTATAAACCTGCAGATCCTACTGGTAACAATCAAAACAGCAGTAATTTTGATTCCTCTCTCAGAATTACCTACCGAGTTTCCAGAGCATACAATATTTTACGCATATCACACGTGCTGCCCTTGAATTTCTAACCTAATTTGTAATACGTTGATGTTTTATTGTTAAAAATTTTCCAGAGCAACTCTCTCACAGGTAGTCAGGCATTTAAAAGTAGCTCTTTACAGAATCCAGGCAGAGGCTGGGGACAGAATTCCCTGAAGAGGACATGGCTTTCCGGAGCAGAGGCTGAATTTGAACATTGAATGGGGCAGCTGTTGTTAGCAACATCATCTTCCAGTTGTGCAGGAGGTGCTGTAGTTTCAAATCAGTTACTTGTGTGAGACATGGCCACAAGAACATCCAGTACCAGCAAGGTGCCATTTGCCACCATGGATAATCACAGAAGGAGAAGCCACGGAAGTAGAAAACATGCAGACTAGCACATTTGCAAAACCAAAACACTGGCCAAACACAGAGATAAGTAACAGATGAAGGCAGAGAAAGTTTCGTCCTGTTAAAGCCTTCTTAGGCAGGGCAGTGGCTGGGAAGCAGGACTGCCCTTAGGTGCAATGACTTTGTTTTTTCTTTTACATGTAGACTTGCATTAAAAGCAACACACAGCAACGCCACTCGTGCTAAGTGTGTAGTTACTTCTTCCTCAGAGGACGATGAATATCCGATAATGGAAAAATAAAATAATGTGCTGCCTATAACAACAATAACCTATGGAAGCATCCAGAACTTCTTGAAGCAAGCACCAGATATTAATTAATGAACTAGGTATCCTCAGCCTGTAGTGATGAAATCCTTGGCTCTCTAAAAGCAGAGGTCCGTGCTCCAAACTCATAAGTCACCGTGCTACCATATAACAAATGTGTAACAAAGAGTTTTACACAATTTTGAGCAGTTCCTCCTTCCACTTCATAAGGACTAAAATAAATGTGCTTTCCTTTGGAGCATTCCAATTTGACTGCTGGCAAGCTTCCCCTAATCGTGGAGCAGTGTTTTGCAAATGTGAAAAAGCTGGGCAGGCAGCTCTGGTGTTGTGTGGTTACTGCACCAGGAATAAGCATTGCTGACATTTCTGTAACTGGCGAGTTCCGCTTCTCTCCAAAGACTCTTTTCTCTGGAAGCTCTTTTTAGAATTAACTTATTCCTGCTAAATACAGCTCTGCTGGGAGGTCATCATTGTCTGGCCCAAACCAGCTGGGATGCCTTTTTTTCAAGCACAGGAAATAATAGCTGATTTGCTTACTTCTTTCAGGAGCAGCAAGATCTTTATGCAACTCCCATCACTCAATCTTGGGACACCATCAGTGATACCAAGCTTCTGAAAGAAAGTTTTTCCACTTTTTCTACTTGCTATGAGTAATGACTTTTAATTTGGGGTATACTTGGTGAAAAGCAATGTGTACCAGTATAAACAACTGAAACTACATCCATCCCCACCAACTGCCAAAGGCAGGATGAACAGTAACTAATATACTGGCTGTTCCCTGCATTTGGAGCTTCATATTGACACACATACCCCCTTACCTACATTCTGCAAGGCTATGGCCACTCTCAAGGTGAAAGCATTTTTTCCTAAGGGCTTGCAGAAGGTCAGGTCCTGAGCTTATTGCTTCTGTTTTATAAAAAGAACATGAAACGCTTTCTGTAAGTACAAAACTCAAAATCAAAACTCAAGTAATGACTCTTATTTGAAGGAAACCTCCATGAAGAGACTTTTTACCATTAAATAGTGATAAAAGCAGAGAGGGTAAGGACCTATGACAGATTTTTAATGAAGGTACTGAGATTCATACCCAACATTGTGTGGTTTCTTGTACAGTTTTTAGCTCTTATTATCTATATACCTAGCCTTTAGCTTACTGCTACCACTGAAAACATGCAAATTGACAACATTTCTCATAAAGGCAGCCTTCTCCACAGTTATTTAGGCGTTCCTGGGCTCTGCCACACACCATGATATTTATGGCGAGAGACAAAGTGGCAAATGGCTTCTCCTTAATTGACTTTCAGCTTCTTGCTTAGTTAGCACATTATTCTTCAGGGAAATATTTCACTTCCCCCGGCTTTTAAAAATTCTTTCATGTGATTTCATATTGACCCTGTCCACGTACTTGTCTGCTTACCTCGAGTAACGAATGGTTTTTCTATCCCTGGGACACGTGCACGTCAGGAGCTTCCGCATCTTTTCTCAAATGTGGCCTGGGCCCGTTTGAGCAGCACACACCAGCAGTCAGACCTTACTCATCGCTGCTGCTTAAAAACCTGGCTCTTCGCCTCCGAATGCCACTTCCCACAAGCCTATCTGCTGCGCTAAATATTCCTCCCACGCAGGCTTCTCGACAGAAGCTCCCTAGAAAAGCTAAGTAGCTTTACCAAAAACCACGAGATCTTCCAAAGTGATGGCATCTGACCATTTGATTACGCATTATATTTATTATGCCAATATTTGCATGAACCAGGTGTACCATGGGGCAGCATGTTATCTTCAGCTTGAGGAATTCCAGCAAAATAAGGAATTCAAATGGAAGATTTTGTGGACAGGATCTTCGGAGAGTTTAATTTCAACTCTTTAAATATCTACAGAGCTCTAGATTCCCAGATGGCTGAGATCTCCAGCGTTACTCTTTGCTTTGCAGGTCGACAGTCTGCATGTGTGGGAGCCTGT